TACAATTTATTTTTAAGGATTTTTTTTTCCCTTTTAAAAAAAAAAAAAAAAAAAAAAAAAAAAAAGTCCAATGTCACCAACTGCTTCAGACATTTGGTAGAAAAAAAGTTGTGGAAGAAAAAAAAGCAAAACCACGAAGAACGAGGAGCAAGCAGGAAGGCCAGAGATGAAGCTGTGCAGATGTCTAAAGCAGGGTTCAGTTATAAAATAACATCTGGAGTTCATAAACTGTTCAGTTTATCGTCTGAAAATCAAGGCAATGGCACTGATGAAAAACATATTAAAACATGGTTCCTGATCTAAACTGGCAAGATTGTCAAGGAGCGGATTAAGCAGAGAATCAGCCAAGAGGGTCGTAGGTATTCTGGAGGGGCTGGAGCAGTTTGCCACAAGCCATGTTAGGGGATATAGCAAAGATGCGAGAGATGTTACTTTAGCCAAATGAAACCAATTCAGAACATCTCTGCCCAAATGTCGAACAGTATGTGTGGTGGAAAACTAAAACTGATGCTGCCATGGTGATGCTTTTCTTCCGAGATAAGGAACACGATCAGAATAGACTAGAAGATGGATGGATGTAAACATGTGGCAACCTTGGATGAAAAACTACGAAATTTAGGAAGCTCAAAAATATTCAGTGTAAACATTTGTAAAGCTTGCAGAAAAATACCCAAAAGAGCTGGTTTTCAAAAAGTTCAACTGGAGGGTGCTGAAAAATGAATGCTCCTCCCTCTCTTCAGTATTTTGTCAAAAGATTAGAAAACGGTCCAGAATGCTCCTTCTACTTCCCAATCATTTGCTAATTTGTGCTGTTCTACACCATAAAATCCCAGTAAAATCCACAAAAGCATCTGGTTGGAAAGTGATAAAATGTGGGGAAAAGTTCAGTGTTGATACTTTTGCAGGACAGCACTAGTTCCTTCCACTGTCGCAACTGGTGAACATACATAGGCGTGTGCTCGCAAAACACTGCCAAGCTTTGGAAAATGAATTTGCTTGATGATGGAGAGGATGCATTATCTGGTGGTACAGTAGAGTGCGTGTGGCCCGGGTACACTATAGCTGCCTCCAGCTCTCAAAGTAGGAGCGGCAGTCTCCTGGGTCCTGGTAGGAGAATGGGCTGAAGCTGCGGTCTAATTCATCACAACTTCGCAGGAAACAAGCAATCGCAGGGAGGCTTCTGAAAGAAAAAAAAAGAAGAAAAGAAAAAGAGGAAACCTTAGCAAAAGACACAACAAGTCTCACTGGGCCGAGGAAATTCCCCTGGTCGCCATTGTTGTTAACTGTCAGCGTCCTCCATAGCTTAAACGCTCAGACAGAAGCGATATAGAGAAGACAAAAGAGCATAGGAAATAAAAAAAAGAAGAAATCATAAGTAGAGGATAATAAAAGTAACCCTATGCGCTGTATTTTACCGGCACCTCAGCTTATTTACAGGTCCATTACAGCGTGTACTCCGCGTGTATGCGGATGCGATTGTTTAGCTGCCGCTCACAGCGGGGTCCTTGCTGAGGTACCGGCTCATGGGGATATGACGAGCTGCTGAAGGGTTTCCGTGACAACCTGGGTTGTCTGTCCAATCAGGGTGTGAGGGCTTCCAGATTGAGAAGTGGTCCTCCGGGGAGCTGTTCCTCAGCTGGCTCGAAATGCTTCGCCACGAAGAACATCCTTCAGAGGGAGGCCATCACAAAGTGAGAATCCGCTCCAAATGGGTACTTTGACATTCCCCGGCATAATTGGAAGCACTTTCTAAACCGAGGGGTTCTTTTAAAAATGCATTGAACAGCAGAGAACAGGATGCTTGCAATTTTGATTCCACTCATGAACCTCTCTGCAGCAGCCTTGTCAGGCTTGTGCTATGTATGTTACGACCGACCCATTTGTCAAACTGCCAACTTTTTTTTTTTTATTGTATTTTATTGTGTATGTATAAAAGTAAGAGACATATTTGAGTATAAGCTACCTGCTCATTCAAGCAAATCTCCTTCTGTAATCTGCCTCTATCTACACCACATCGGTTTCCTTTTTTCCCCACTCTTTCTGTTTTTTTGGTTGCTTTTTCTTTTTCTTTTTTTTTTTTTTTGCTCTGAAGTTGCATAGTGGTTTCATCATCCTGAGCAATAGGAGCCAGCGGGGTATCGCGCAAACACAACAGACAGGCTCATTTTTCACAGGTTGACTTCCGAGCTATTCTGCAGGATGTGTCACGACAAACGGCGGATATGTGACAGACTCACGTCGCACCCGTGTCCTTGCATTAGAGAGAGGAGGCACTATATCATGTGTGCGTCTTGTGTGTTGTTTGCGACTGTGTACACCTGCACTGGATCCAGTGTATTATTTTTTTTGTTCTTTGTGGTTTTTCTTTTTTTTTTTTTCTTTTTTTTTTTTTGTACCAAATAAGCCCACAGGAATGGTTTGCCCCTCATGCGGTAACGTTGAACCTCATTCCCAGCAGGCCTCAGCTCTCCGCCAGCCAACATCACCACCTCCGCCGTGCCCAGCATCGTCACTCCCATCGTCAACGGATTCACCGGCATCCCTCATCAGCCCAACGGGCACCCCGCCGTGGAGACGGTGTACACCAATGGCCTGCCGCCCTACTCCACCCAGAGCCCCACCGCCGCTGACACCCTGCAGCAAGCCTTCACCGGCGTTCAGCAATACACAGGTGGGGACGCGACGAGGCTTCTCTGTCGCCGCTTGATCTCACCTGCTCACAAATGCCAGCCGTGTTATAGGCTACAAGTTAATTACCACAGGGGTGTTTACAGTGCGTCAGAACACGACATCAGAGCGCCTTTGATTCGACACGTTACGCCTGTGTGATCGACCTTAAGCATCCTTGACACCGTTCTCTGCAGGATCCCCCCTCGCTTTTACACCACCCTCTCTTTATTTCTCTGCGCCTTCTTTCCGCAGCAATCTACCCAGCCACCACGCTGACTCCCATCGGCCAAACACTGCCCCAGCCGCCCCAGGTCATCCAGCAGCAGCAGCAGAGAGAAGGTGAGGGTGAGAGAACGTTATTACTTTCACACTTCACCCATCCCATCCTCCTGTAATGGATATAAAAAGCAGAGATGAGCATGAGAGACCAATATTGCTTTTACAGTGTACACATCTCAATTCTGCGGAATGGGTAAATAGAGTGGAAAGGTTGAGGAAACAATATTACATTTCACACCTAATCTGAGGTAACTTATACATTATATACACCATAAAAAATACAGAATAGCTAGACAGAGAGCAGTGATAATGCAGCTGTATTAAATTTTCTGGTTTTATGATCAACATAGTCATATGTTGTTTTTTTTTCTTTTTTTTATAAGTAACAATAAAGTCCATTGTAATAAACCTGTAAGAAGCATGCTGCTGCAGCCACGGGGGACAAGAGTTATGAAAATGTAGAAATGGGAAAACTGGGGCACCTTTCATAAAAATATTTAAAGTGGATCATGGTGATTTTTTTTTCTTTTTTTTCTTTTTTTTTTTTTTGCTCACACCTGCTGCACAAGTCTAAAAAGAGGAGGAAGAAAGAAAAAAACTGACAGAAATTCTGGAGATATTGCTAAAGAGTATGAATATAATAAATTAGTCAGTAAAGTATTACATGAATTACAAAAGTGTAAGAAATAGTATTAAGGAGTTTTTTATTCCCATTGCCAATTGTTCCATCCATTGATCAATCCATATCTATGATTAACTTCCAAAACTATTACTATACATTCATAGATTAGTTTTGTATGATACAACATTAGACCTTTTGTCGGCGTGTTGAGAGGCACATGTTCTAAGTTTTATCTTTAATTATTCGTAATTTACTCCACCAGCCTTTGAGTTACAGTTTGAGTAGCAAAGAATGGAGGAACGTACAGATAAAGCAAACCTATTCTGTAGAACTGATTTGACCCAAGTACCAGTCTTAAATAAAACGCTGAAGACCACTGAAGGTCAGCTAAACAGATAATTGTCATATCATTTGGTGAGACCGGAGAGATGAAATTGACATGCGTTTCCTCTATTTGCCTGCTCAGGTCCAGAGGGGTGTAATCTCTTCATCTACCACCTGCCGCAGGAGTTTGGAGACAATGAACTCATGCAGATGTTTTTGCCCTTTGGTACAGTCATCTCTTCTAAGGTCTTCATGGACCGGGCGACCAACCAGAGCAAGTGCTTCGGTGAGTTAGACTGCATGTACAGATCCACTCACACTTATTTGCACAACTGGTGAATATATGTATGAACTCTTAAAATAAAGCTTATTTTATTGCATTTGCATGAGCTCACGCTGAAAAACTGTGCATAATCCAACCTTTCACTTTAGAGAATTTATTGAGTGAGGAGAAGGAAACATCATGTTAAGAAATGATAGAAACTTAATGTTGCAACAACTGATGGTGCAGAATAAAATGCAGACAACACATTTTAATTTGTGCTTTACGTTTTAAGCTAGTCACTTTATAAAAAGGGGGAAATAATATAAAGATGAAAATGGAAATAGAGGTGCAAAATCTCCAAAGCACACTGTTAATGTGAGGAAACACCACAAGTTTATTTTTGTCGGATTTTACCCATGATTCCCAGTTTGGATATGTCTGCACCAATGTCCTCTCGTTGGGAGCTATCTGCACTGCTAATAGGCACAAATGTCTGTCTGTGTGAGTGGTGAAGTCACAAATCCAACCCAACCTCAGTTGAAGTCAATTAAACATTGTTTGAATATTTGAGCAGAATTTTGACAGTCGGGCAGTGTGATCTGATTGCTGACTTTAATACCTGTGTTGCCAATAACCACAAACAAAGGAAGGGTGAGACACTGAATGTTATTTTTAGAGCAAGATTATCGTCCATGTTCGTCTATGTTGTCTTCTTCTCTGGGATTTCTCCCTCTGAGCTCAGCTTCTCTGAATGAATTTCAACCGGGTCAGTCAGTGACCAGGAGGAGGAGGTTTGAACGACAACATGGTTTTCTGCAGGACTTCTTTTAGATAAAATTAAGATTGGACACTTCTTCAACAAGCACCCTAGACCAGTGTGCTGGATTGTTATGAAACAAGGATAAGAATAAATATGTAAAAAAGCGCCTTGTTTCTTTCAATGTGCCTGGTGGAGTATCTGTGATGCTTTGGGCCTGTTTCTCTTCCAAAAGTCCTGGGAACCTGGGAACAGAGCATCTGAAACATGGGAACTTTTTCAGATGCATATCCATTTGGACTTTGTTAGTTAAGTGTAAATGATTTGTCATCCCAGCAGGCAAACTATCCATAATATATGGTTATATCAACACAAAAATATTTCACCAAATACCCAACCGACCTTTTATAACCTGACTTGAATTTCATGGAGAAAGAAAACCCTGTGGGATGAGCTAAGAAGTGTCAACAAGTTGTTTTTGTTGAGCTAAATACTTATGATCACTGTCTTCTTATGAATAACTCCTGAATAACTAATTTGAAAACATTAAAACGTTTAAAACACTCTTTTCCATAACCTATTCTGGCTGTGACAGCATTTGACAGCCCACAGACTGCGAGGATTGATCTTCCCCCAGACAAACCGACTTGAATTTGCATCTTGATGACTGCTTGTGCTTTGGCGTGAGGGCCGAGGAAAAGATGCTCCGAGTGCATCGTTTCCAAACTGGCCTGGATGCAGTCGATCAGAGTCCATGTCCTTGTTTCGTTTTGGCAGATGACTGACCCGGGGAAACCTTCAGGCGCCGTGTCAGCGTCTTCGTCGCTGTTCCGTAGCCCCTCGTTTCTGTCGATGCCTGGAACTGCTGAGGCCGAACCACACACCTCCGCACTTCGAGCAGACTAACTTCGCCTTCGCAGGCACCTGAAGAGCTCGACAGTGACGCTTCAGGGGCGGACCGGATTGGGGGTGATTGTGGAGCAGCAATTGTTTTTACTCAAAGGGAACCGCATAAGCCCAGTGAAGTATCCCTGGTGCCTGAATGCTTTTGTTCGAGTGAGAGGGTTAATATTAGAGACTCCTGAAAGAAGATCTATTTGCAGTATTGACGAGCAGCTACAATAGACATTCACATCAAGGCGGCAGCACTTTGGTACAATTAATCTTTAAATGAGGGAGAGGGAATACTCTTAAATTGATGAGACTCCTCATCAAAACATGTAGTCTTTGATGAGACTACGGGGCCTGTGCCTGCTCAGCTCTCGTTCCACCACCCTAAATGTGCCTAGTTGCTGGTGGCATGTAGGAGGTCGCATCCTTTTACTGCCGCTGCTCTTTCTTCAGACTTTCATGTTGGCCTCGTCTTCTCTGCCAAATGGGCCAAACCAGATCCAGGAAGGCCAGCCGCAGTCTCTCCCAGGTGACTGCGGACGCGCAGAGGCCCCTGTTGTTTTTTTTTCACGGGTCATTAACTGTACCTAATGGCACCGCAGACGCAAGGGAGCACATCAAGCAGAGACACACTCCGCTGCAGCTTCTGGTCCCTGAAATCTGAAGGCTTATTTTTTTCTACTTTGATGGAAACGGGATGTTCAGCGTAGGTTTGAGGAGTGGGGAGTTTTGGGGGAAGATGTGCTGATGGGAGGTTTGCGCCGTCTGCCTCGAAACTTGTCGAGTTTGTTTTTGTTTACACTGAACTTTTATTTTTACCGTTGCATGCTATATTTGTTAGCTGAGTTTAAAATGTGTAGCTTTGCAAAGCTCATACATACCTTTGGAGCTTTTGAAGTTTTGTCGCATTATAACCACACACTTTGAGAATTGGGATTTTATGTCAAAGACATAGTAGTGATTACTTTTGAAGTGGGTCGGAAGTGGCAATTGGTTTAAAAATATTCATACGTTTGTATGTTGGCCCCCAATTTAATATTTCGTTGAACAACAAAATTTGCAGCTTCTGACCAGTTTTCTTCTTCCAGGAAACTGTATTTATTTACTTCCATCCATTTTCTCATCAAACAAGTCTCCTGTCTCCGTTTAGATAAAGCATCCCCTTATATAATCTTATGTGTTGGTCAAAATAAATTTTTTTTATTCTCATCTGACCAGAGCACCGTCTTCCACATATATATTTTTGTGTGTTTGACTTTACTAGTATGCTTCACTTTGCTTTTGTTGAAGTATAGTTAAAAATATCAACATTTGTTACTGTAACGTGATATAAAGTAAAAACGTGCCCAATAAATTCTATAAATTCAAAGCATCGTGGTCAGCATGGTCTGTAAATATTAAGCACTTCTTACTTAAACCATTTTAGCTGGTAATTATTTTCTATTTTCCAATTTTCAAATCTATTCATTAATGGAATTTTTTTTTTTCTTAGCGAGAATTGGTAATGCAATGTTTTGTTTTATTATTTAACTGAAATAGGCTGCTGCTTTTCATACTCTGCAACATGTGCCTCAAAAACCACAGAGCAGCTTAATATTACATGTCTTCTCTACAAAGGAGTGTGATGTGTTTTGGCAGCAACAGCTCCAAACATGTCCCAACAGCTCTTTCTTTCACATACTTTCCCTTTTTTTTTTTTTTTTTTTGGCTTAAAGCTTATTTTGGACATCATCCTGACCCTTTCTTCTTGTAAGTTTAATAAATTTGATTTGCTTCCTAACAGGTTTTGTCAGCTTTGACAACCCTGCTAGCGCACAGGCAGCTATTCAGGCCATGAACGGTTTTCAAATCGGGATGAAGAGGTTGAAAGTCCAGCTAAAGAGACCGAAGGATGCCAGCCGCCCTTACTGACACAGCCTACCTTCAGTATTCACTGCAGCAGCACAGGTAAGCCCTGAAAACGGTGAGGGTTTTTTCTTTTGTCTTCACAAAAGTAAGTTTCAAGCTGCTTCTTCTTCTTCTTCTTCTTTAGAAGAGCTGTGATGGGTTTCTGTAAATATATTTAATAAAACGGTTTATAGTGTAATGAAACTATGTAATTGTTTCAAAAATACTGCAAAACTCAAAGGTTTATAAATACGCAGCTAAGGATGTATTCACTCCTGACACATTTGGTCTGCTTTAAAAGGACCAGAGTTCATTTTGTCCACTGGTCTGCCTCTTTAGTGCAGGTGTGAGAGACATTATGTAAAATTTACTACTTTTTTTAACTTTATGTATTAAAGCTGTGCTCTGTCCCACCCCCTGATTTCTATCCAATGGGGTAGATTTGTTTACAAATTATAGCAAACTGCACCAAGAGCAGAAAAAAAATAAAATAAAATCTGCTTTTGGTCCACACTAAACAAGTGGACCCAAAGACTTTCCTGGTGTGAATACACCTTTTAGGCCTCACCATCAACACCCATGTACCTTTAAACAGTGGCCTAGCACTCTTAAGTTGTAAATAATGTATGTACAGACAGCAGGAGAAGGCAATAAAGAAGAGCAGCAAAGACCTTTCAGGAATTCCTTTCCCCAGTTTGTCGTTTAAATAAAAAATGACATTTAAAAGGAGTCCTGGAGGTCAAACAAAGGTCAGGGAAACGTTCCAAGAGAAGCTTAATGTTCTACCCTGCGACTGAAGCCTGACAAAGTGTGACTTTGCTTTGGAGAATCGGGAGTAGAATGTAAAAATGAGCATCTAAAGAAGCTTTACAGTATCTGAACTGATGAGTAAAAATAGAGCCTACCGTCTGCACTAAGCGCAGATATGTGCGCAGAATTTTATTATCATTACAAAACCTTAACTTTCCAGAACAAGGGGGATCAAACATGCTTGGGCGGCCATGTACCAAAGAAATGAGGACCATTTAACTGACAGATGGGCCAAGGAAATATCACTTCATCCTGTAAGATGAGGAAACAGGAAAGCTCATTGTTTTCAAACAATCCCCCTCTATGAATCCCATAATTGTGCATCATAAATAAGAGAAAAGAAAATTATATATAGGTTCTTAAATATTTTACAAATAATCAAAAAAAAGTGTAGTCTGCCTTATTTGTAGCTACTGAAACTGTTAAAATATTCTTTATTGCAATAGATTCAGATTCAGCTTCAATTGTAGCTTTACTCAACTGGGCGGGCAAAGCTCCCTGGACAGCAATTTTCATGTTTAGCCACGAATTCTCCATTGAGCTTGACTTCAACTAGGCTGTTACAAAACAAAACTTTTTTTTTTTTTTGATTTTTTGTATTTTTGTCATCAAAATATTTCAGTTTTATTGTCTTGCGGAAAGTTGAACTTCTTCCCAGGCCGCAAGTCTTTACCAGGTTTTCTTCCCTGTCCCTGATGGGGGTGGGGGAAAATAAATAAATAAAACATCCCCAAAGCACGATACAGCCATCATTATGTTGCACCACCAGTTATATCAGCATAGATTTAATTACACTCTAATAAATAATTAAGCCTGTTTCATGCGGCAAGATAATTAGGCTGATTTTTGACTCAGTTTTCCCCTTCCTAATATCTAAGGAACACTCCGATTATCGTGATGGCTCTAAAGATAATCTTATGAGATGTTCCTACCGTGTGATGATCTAGTCTGCTTGGAAGGACATCAGTAGCGCTTCGACCTCAAATCGGGGATATTTAACCTGTTGGATTGTCTTGGCCTCATAGCCCAGCGTGTGGGGTGTTCCCTGAGGACAAACGAGCGTGCAGCCTGTTAAATGTGATGTGTAGCCAATCAGAGAGCAAAGTGATGGAAACACAGAGGAAAATCGGCAAGACGGCACACGAAACTGCCGCCACTGCAGAAAGTCGAGCGGAAGTTGCAGACATCTTTTTGTATAATTTCCCTGTTAAAAATTGCCCACCAACATTGCGTCTTCCTTGTGAGTCATGCAGCCAGGGTTTTTTTTTTTTTACTTGTGTTTGAATGCAGGAAATCTGTTTGTGTGTGTTTTGTTGTGTGGCTCTACACCTCACACACACACACACACTGTTAGAGCTTTGATTTTCTTTTTGTCGTGTGTGTGTGGTCAACCAACAATTTTAAAATCTTGCCACGTGAACCAGGCATTGGGTCACTTCTGAAGGCAATTGGTTGCTTTGAGTGCAACTGCATGCTGCAACCTTCATATTTTTAATGGTAATACACTTTGAAAGCTATCCGTTAATTTCATTCCACTTTGAAATTACTCACACACACACACACACACACACACACACACACACAGCCCTGATAGCTTCTACAATTAGCAACATTTTGAAGGATATGGGCATTATGCAAACAAAGCACAAATATAAACTTTTGATGGATGCAAAGGGGACATATTTAGAGCAGGCTAGTCCTAATGACGTCAATTTTTTAATATATTTTAGTGCCCAAAATATGACAGAAGTGCATTTAATTGGAAGATGCATTTCATTTTGGTTCAAGATATTTAAAGTCAGGGGACATTTTGGCAATGTGTGTTCTGTGATTTTATCCTATAATTTTAAATCGTATGTGTATTGGCAGTAAATGTAAGACTAAGCACAGAATGTGCAAAAATACAGAGTCCAAGTTGATTTTATGATGGAAGCACATCATGGGCATATTAATTGTGGGAAAAATCTGTCATCATTGTGATTGACAAAGACGGATTCAGTGTAATGGTCTCTCCAGACCATTACACTGATATAATGGAGCCATACTGAAATATCCAAAGTTTAAAGAAATGGATCTTTGGATTGACAGTTTAATGAGCAGTGAAATTTAAAATCGCTCCTTTCTCTTTTTTTTTTCCTTCTTTCTTTGTCTTTCTTTTTCTTCTTTTTTCCCCAGACTTTAGAGGACACACGTGAAGATATCTGGGAGGAGGTCAGCTTTTTTTCTTTGAGAGCAAGCATATGTTTTAAAAAAATCAACACGTGAGGAGTTTTTTGGGAGACATATCAACACTTATCAACACATGAGGATGCAGGTTAGAGCAGCAACAGGAGGTGTGGGAAAGGGAAGGAGGAGAAACGGCGCTTCGATGGGGACGTAACAGCAACAGATGGCACAGGACAGCGAGAAGAAGGAAAACCTGGAAAAGAGACTCGACGGGACTGAACAACAGAACTTTTTCTTGTTAAGACTTGAATTGTTAAGTAAGCAACAAACAAAAAAAGCAGCAACAACAAATAGATTTCTATATACATATTATATACACACATATATATATATAAATATATATATATAAGGAACAAAGAGGCGCTTGTGGCTTTTACTGGACAAATGAGGGTTAAAACTTGAAGATAAAAAAACAACAGTGGAGAAAAGAACCAATTCTACACGTCCACTGACAGACTTTCTTTCTCTTTCCCTCTTTCTCTTATTCTCTCACCGTCTCTCAGCAAGCGCAGAACTATGACTCTTGGAGGTCACTGAGGTTTCCAATAGCAAAAGTAGAACTGCAATTCTTTCACCCCTAAGGGACCAAAGGACCAAACATTTTTATTGTTCTGAACAGCGATATATATAGTATTAATAATACTAATACTACAAACTACTACTAATAATATTACAAGTTAAACTTAAGAAGAAACACTAGCTTCAGGTTGAAAAAAAAAAAAGAACAAGGGTTTTTTTTTTTTTTTTTGGTTTCCTTTTACCTTTATAGCTACCGGGTTGGAGAATAATAAAAGAAAAAACAGAAAATGTATTAAAAAAACCATAAATAAATGAAGCTGTACTATTTTAGCAGTATAGAAGATATGGGTTAGGCATTGTGTCGGGCATGTTCAGATATGTTTATTTATTTATTTTTATTTTTGTCCTGATACATCAGCATTCCCAGCATTTCATCTCAGAAGCATGATCTTTGTGTTTTTGAGTCAAAAATGGGAAACAAAAGCGTCGAAGCAAAGGAAGGACAACACAACCTCAAACAGGACCACAAATACCGACCTCGGTTCAATTCAAAATCCTCGATCTTCACTGCGAATCATTAGTTAAACGCCTCGACGGGGCAGATGGTCTGACCGTGAACCACTGTGGCGAAAGTGCCACCTGTTGGGTCGCCGATGGGTCGAGCCCTCGCCCACTGCTAAGCCGCTCCAGCTGCTTCCAGCAGCAGGTGAGAGCGGGAACGCCCGCCCTCCCGTCACTTTTCCTCCTTCACGTCAAAGTACCAGCGTTACTGTCTATTAACAGGGATCATCAGTGGATGAGGGAGCCCTGAAACTAAACCAGGACATAATTACAATAATGATAATATTGATCAGATGGAAGCGGCACTGCAGGGTCAGAGATGCACAATCGATTGTCACATTGGCATTTCGAAGAAGCTTGACTGAGTGACAGAGCTGATCTGAGTCTCACTGGAGTTTTTTTTGTCTCCCTTCATAGAGTGCTTGCAAAAGTGTTCATACTTAACATGTTTTAGCATGAAAACATGCTTAGGATTTCTGCCACAGGAAAAAAAAAAAAAACACAGTCAGGATGTCGAGTGAAAACTTAATACCCAAACTACCACAAACTTCACCTTAAAATGGGCCGTTCTAATATTTTTATCTAAATAATTATTTTCTTGCTATAGCTGTATATTTGATGATGTCCCAGGTTTTCTTGTAGATTGGAGTCTGCATTTAAAGACACCTCAGCTGTTTTTATTTTGTTTGGGGTTTTTTAGGTTCTTAATTGCGCATTATAATTGCACAGTTAGAGCTCATACACAGTGAAAGACAGCTTGGCATTATCAGCTACTGCAGGTCAAATTCAGACCAAAATGATCCATCAATTAGGGAGCAGGAGGCCTAGAAGCGCTGCTACCGTCAGCGATGGTCACACACAGCCCCGGTGCGGTGATGTCGTGGCACGGCATGCTCTGTGAGAAACGATTAATCAACTAAAACAGAGTCATCCTGATCCGAGAAACGCATTCGGTTGATCTGAGATGAAATCTTTGTCTTCAAAGGCTTCTTAGTGAAGCTTTCTCTCTCTGTTTTTTTTTTCCTCTCCTTAAATGCCATTCCATGACTCAGTTTGCTCTTTGAAGCATTTTGCCCCCTCAGGACTCACTGAGATTTCGGCGCTTTCATCGACGTTCCAAACTTTAGGCACATCAGCACTCCGGACACTGCACCGCAGCACTCGTCCTGCAGAGACTTCAGACAAAAAGTGACGACCTTGCCTCTGTGGTTTGGTTACAACAAAAATGTTTCCACCAGAGCGACTCTCCAGATCCTGACGACTGTACGCCTGCGTTTGATTACTTTTGGCTCAGCTGCTCTTTATCCTCATGTGATTCCTGCTCCACTGGATCAAAGTTATTATTATTATTAATATAAGAAAGACGGAGCAGGAATCTCAGTAGGTTCTCACTGCTGTTCATTGTACGTTGCTCTGCTGCCAGCAGTGTTTAGATGCTGTGCGATGGTGTTTTGTTACATATGCCTTTTCTCATCATGAATTGCCAAATTATGCAAGCATATCCATTGCAGTTCCTCATCAGATTTTAAATATGTGCCAGATTTCCTTAAAATGTAGTCTTATAAATATACTTATTTTAGAAAACTCTTTAGCAGATTGAAATATTTGATTTTGTGATATAGGATACCACTGTAGGAAAAGGGTCAGCTCCCCCTGAAATGATATACGATATAGATTTCCTGTGAAAAGGTTAGATTTCTTATATATTTGCCAGAAGACAGCTCCTTTCCCTCGGCGAGTAAATGTGAGTTTCCATGCTTGCTGTCAGGGCGAAGCAGCTTTAGGAAGCTGTGATATATGCCCTGCTTCCTCTAGGCCATCCAGAGCCTTATAAACCCCTGCCAAAATATATCTTTCTCATAGGATTTCTCCTCAAGAGAGTTTTTTCTTTTTTTTTTAATTATTAAAATCAAATTAGATTTTGCCTTGAAAACAGCTTGAGAAAAGCAAATTAAAGATGACAGATGGAGCTGAAATGCAATGCTTTTGAATTATGTTAAGTTCTTTGATGCCCACTCTTAGAAGGAATAGGAAATAAAAGCATATTTTAAAAAAAAGAACGATTAATCCACAATGTGAGAAACAAATATTGCCAGAGTTTGGCCCCTTGAGATAAGAACAGGTGCATCAAGTCAGTGCACACAGTTCTTACTGTGAGTTTCAGGGAAGTTTAGGTCGTCGACATCTGTGAATGGCTTAAAAAAAGGGAACTGGCAGTAGTGATTTCTATAGTTTTCTGATTAAGTTGCATGTGATTGAGCTAAAATTGATCTCTTACATACTTTTCACTCTTGCATCCATTGTTTTTTAAAATCATTTCTTCTGTTAATATTTATCATGCTACCATGGTGCCCTTTTTTTAATCTTCTGAGCATGCTCAATAGGGGCCGGGAGGGATGAAGATTATGAATATGGTATTGCTCGTATTGACAATATGATTCTTTACCTATTGTTTGAATGCTAAGGATAGTAGCTTATTATAAATATGAAATCTTGTATAATATGAAAAATCAGCACAGGCCCTTTTTCTTTGGGTTACGTAGAGGTTAGGGGGTTCAGGCGGGGAGGGCAGGGAGGGGACTCGCTTTATAAAGACATTAACTTTCTGGTTTCTCAGCACAAAAACAGACAAAGACGGAGAAGCAGCAGTATGATGAATCTCAGAACCAGTCTTAACCGGAAGGATACAAATGCTGTTTACAGGTAGAACTTGTTTTTCTTTGGATTTTTTTTTTCCTTCTTTTTCTTTTTCTTTTTAAGCAGAGCGCCACCTGTTTTTGTGGCAGCATCAAGTACAGCATGGATTAACTGACAGGGAAAGCAGTATCTTTTTATAATAAAAATATTCAAATGATAACGAATAAAAAAAAAAATGTGTTCTGTATTAGCCTGAGAAACCAAACTTTTTTCCCCTGTTAAAATTTCTTAATACTTGCTGCTTAGATTACTTCATATTAATAATTGATGATTTAATAATTTTATAATTAATTACCTGGTCAAGTGTGTAACTTGATGTTTATTTATCAATTTATTTATTTATTTATTTGCTACTTATTTAATTTATTTATTAATTTGTCACCTTATTTATTTTATGGTTATGGTAAGATAAAGATATGTGTCAAAAAGAAATGGTTATTGGAACTTTTCTCTTGTTCTCTCCTTTTTTTCCAATTTTACAATAAAAAAATCAAACTGGGGTGGTTTTGTTTCTTATAGTTCATTTGGACCGAGTGGAGTGCTGATCCGCACTCAGAAGACAGGGGGAGTCGTTGCACAAGGAATTGCTCCCTCACCCCACCCAGCGTCTCAAGGACTTTGAAAGTTCAGGGGACGCAGATGCTGCAGCCTCCTTCGGCTCATCACCTCAGAGCATGTCACTCACACCCTGCCCATGTTTAGTGCTGCAGCTGTGATATGTGTGCAACAGCCCCTTAAACAACACTGCAGCCACATCATTTTTAATGTGTTAATTTTTTTTATTTTTTTTTTAATGTTTTATGATGGAGATGGTTTTAAAAACCAGGCATCTCAGAAGGAGTCAACCGTGGGGCTCTTCATAAAAAGCCACAGTGCTGAAATCGCAGCCATTTAATGTTTATTTAAAGCTCAGTCATGTAGTATCTGTGAAGATTTTCTTCACTGTGTCAAAATGGAGACTGAATGCTTTTTTTTTTTGTTTGTTTTTGCATGAAAGATGATCAGCTGGAATATGTGTAAAAGCGACATGATTTAAAACTCGCATCAGGCAAATATTACCGAGGAAGTGTCTCAGTCACAGAAACTCTGTAAAATTAAGAAAAAGATGACAAATATCCATCCAACTATAAAAAGCGGGGCATAAGTTGTTGCAAGGAGGACAGCGGGTATCTGTCAACCGCGTGCACCGCCTGGATGCCAGGAGCTAAATTTGATGCAACATCTGTTGACAGCTGAATTGCCCCTCCACATACATCTTGTAATCATCATCCTCCTACATGAGGAGTCGCTGTAACAAAAGCAGCAGCTGAGACACAAGATTCATAATTTGTTTGAGGAGCAGCTTCAAATGGGGGGAAGAAAAAAGAAACTGTAAAAAAAAAAAAAAAAAAGTAGAGCCACTGGCTCATGAAATAAATTGTCCCAATTACAATAAAGTGTGGCTCTTGGTCAGTGTGAGCGGCAGGCAGTTCATCTTTATTACAATCAGTTAATGAAAATCAATCCCCCTCCTGATAAACTCTTATCTCCACGGCCTTTGCGCACCCCCCGTGCCTGGGAGATAATAAATTAGGGTAATATTGCCTTTGATGAGGGAGTGAATTGCAAATTATTGTAACTTTCCAAGATTTATGATGCAGATGCTTAATTTCCGAGACGTTTTTTTTTTTTTTTTTCCAGGGCGTCGGGGTTCAAGGGGGCCATTTGTTAAAAGTTTGGTGACTTGTGCTCGTTAATAAAAATACACACTCAGACAGCCAGGTGTTCTCAGCTGTTTCCCGGCTGATGCGGCTCGCAAGAAAAAAAAAAAAATACTGTAAATCCACACTTCAGTTTTGCTGTACAGACTTTCAGTACAGTGCCGTGCAAAAGTATTAATACCCCTTGAACTTTTTAGCATTTTGTCACATATTTTGTGAAGCACAAACTTCAATGTATGATTTGGATTTTATGAGATAGGAAGGCATGAGGTACCACATCATTTTGAAGTGGAAGGAAAAGTTAAAATCAAGATTTTTTTTGGGTGGGGGAGGTTGCACCAATTCTTTTGGCTTCCAAGTTGGATTGAATCTGTATGTGCACAGAAAAAAAACAAGTTTTGTCTTGATTTTTAATTGTATTTTTTCTGAGCTTTCACTGGCTTCATTCTAACACATGAATATGATTTTCTATTTCAGCTCAGGCTGTATGTTTGGGGATGTTGTCCTTCTGGACAACTTGTCTTTCATTCTTTTCATTTATTTATCTCCATTATCATCCCACCAACCACAACTGTGTCCACTTTTGAGATTCCTGGCAAACTAAATGATACTCCTTATTACTTCTAAATTCTTCCAAAAACATCTTTGTTCTTGTCTTACCTCCCAGATTTGTGGACTGCACAAACTAATTGTTTTATTACTCCTTCAGTACGAGTCCCTGCTGCTCCTCCAGAGTTACAATGGACCTCCTGCCTGTTCATCTGAATAATGCTCTCTGGGGACCCACTATTTTGTAGATACAGATGTTCAAAAGCTTGAGAAAGTACTTTATAACCCAATCCTTCTTCAAGTTTTGCTACAACTTTTATCTCTGACCTGAACAGTTTTTTTTATTCAGATTTTACATTATACATACATTAATCATCCTTTTTTTTTTTTTTACAATTGCGGGACTTCTAAGAGCTTTTGGATTTTATTTTTATTTTATTTCAGTGTACCAGAGTAGAGGGCTCAACGCGAAAAGCACTGCATTTTTCAGACATATGTTTGGAAATATTTTGAAAGTGTGTTTACGGTCGTCAAGCCACAAAATATGACGACGGTTCAGCGGGTATGAATACTTTTTAGCTAGGAGCAGTAAAGGTAAACACACGGCCGAAAACAGAAACCCCATGCAATGCAATGTGTTTACTAAAGCAGCTGTCAATCAGGCAGCACCCTCCCTCCCCTCTCCCACCACATCTCTATCACACAAGTCAGGAGAGTATGATTTGATATGTAGGTCAATATGCGTGCTGCACTGAGCCAGCGGGTGAGATATGTCTGGTTGCTCACTGTCACTCTGATTATTGAGGAGACACAGAAAGATTGAGTTGGTCAAGTATGAGAGAGGCTGCAGTATAAGAGATAGCTGTATGATTGCTGCCACTAGATTTCAGAAGCCACACACACACACACACCACGGGCAGAAACTTTCCAGAGAAATGAGAAACTTCTCACTCTTTGTTCCGCAGCAGTGACCCATGTAACCGTGTGCAATGCATGTGTGCGTCGTACGCCTTCCTTGCCCGATGCAACAATCAGGCCACTAGTGCATCATTAAGCAAAACACTTCGGCAGCCCGAGCAGGGCCGGGGTTACGAGTGCAGGGATGATGCAAGGTGGATCATTTCAGGAGCAAACACAAGGCTGCGAGAGCAGATGAATGACTTGACAGCAATTTTGGTAACCAACGTCTCATGCATCATTCAGCGTCGATAATTTAAGCCTGTGTCTCGGGTTCTAAAAGCCCCTCGTGTGGATGTTTTCTTTTTATTACTTTTTTTTTTTTTTAACAGATGCTTCCAAGTACTCATCTACTTAACTGTCGTCAACTGTATCTTGTTTCACGACAAAGTTGATCTGGCCGAGAAGACTTGGAGTGTTAAAAGACTGAAGAAGCTGCTGCTCCGGTTTGATTATCTCACCTTGCAACTATGTCTACTCATCAAGGCCACCTCATTTTTGTCCGAGGAACAGCTTTAATTAAGACAGCCATCAATCTATGTATTATCAATCACGGAGAAGACTCACACACCGCTATCTATTTATCTTGCCAAGTGCTTTATTATTATCAAATTAATTTCCCAATTGAGAGTATCCATCACTCAAGCTCTCTCTTCCCCCCTACAAATCCCCCTCTCAACTCATTAACCAAGTAATTGTCCTTGTTTACGGGGAAAAGTCAAGACAGGATGGCTCAAAGAGGGTGGACAAGCAATCTTCCAAAAACTATGTGCACACGCTACGTCTGCCTTGCAAATGCAAAGACAAGAACTCCATTAAAGTTGCTTCAGAGTGGACGGCTTGACTTATGCTTCAGTTCCAATTTTCAAAAATGGATGAGGGGGGGGGGGGAAAAAAAAAAAAACCGGAGTTTCTCGTTTTGAAATGTTTCCAAGTTGTCAGACAGCTCCGCCGCCTTTCATCAGACTGAGGGAGCTCTCGCATGGGTTTATTGTACAAAGCTCTGCTGCCTGACAGTCCTGTCAGATGGCTGCGTCTCAACAGATGATATGAGTCATGAACGGGGGACTTGCAGCTTTTTAAGTTTTGTTCTCCTCTTCTCCTCAGCCAATGGGGGGTGGGGGGGAAATAACTATTAGAATA